ATAGACAACAAGCTAATGCACTGGGAAACATTTTTTTTTTTTCCAAATTAGGTCTATCATCCTTTTATAACTTGAATGAACGAGCCTCAGGCTTACCTACAAACATCAAAGCTATACAACTGCTAGGTAATTATAGAACTTAACTCTAGACAGAGTTAACACTTGGTTATTATATTTAAATTTTCTTTCAACTTCTACCCTACTGCTTCAATGTTTTTATAAAAATTCTAGTATGTGGGATGACATTATCAAAGTGATTTGGTAAATAAGTATTCCAGTCAGACTGGTGCTCTAGTTTCTTCTATTTCACTTTAACATTAGAAATGTAGGGGAGCCTGGGTGGCTAAGTCGCTCAAACCTCCAAATGTTGATTTCAGCTTAGGTCATGATCTCAGGGTTCATGGGTTCAAGCCCCATGTCAGGCTCAGTGCTGACAGCATAAAGCCTGCTTGGGATTCTCTCTTTCTCTCTGTCCATTCCCTGCTGGCTCTCTCTCTCTCAAAAATAAATAAATAAACATCAAAAAAAAAGAAATGTAAGTTTTAGTATTACTTGGGTTAAGAATTTTGTTCCGAGTCCAACACCGAGAGGAGCCTGGAGAAGAAGGTGGTCTACTGTCAGGCCTGGAGGAATGTCCACTTTCTGAAGGTGCTCAGCACTCCTGGGACACTCCAGCACTGGCCCTCACAGTGAGGAAGGTCTTTACCACAGAGTAACCATGACAGAGAAAATGGACATGATCTAGAATAGGTGTCTACAGTGTCCTGTGTCCATGAGGCAGAAGTCAGAGAACTGCGTTTAGAGGAACGGCAGGCATTACAGGTAATTTGTACTACCCTCCTCTCTTTATTCTATTAATCTGTAGTTGTTCCAGGTCCTCTGTGCAGTATACAAAGGAGGGCCACAACCAGGTTTGTCATTCAGAATTTTCGCTGAATTGTGCTTGTTTGGGTTGCACGTATTATCAGAGGAGAATAAAAATGTAAGGGCCCTGCAGGCCGTGCATTGAGCATAATCAACCTCCTCACAGATAAAGCATAGTTACTAACAGATAAGCAAAACAAACAAACTCAGTATTCCCAGATAAGAGTTCTCCAATGTTTGCTTTTTAGCTGTTTTTTAACAAGGGGTTCTAGAAGAAGTTGCCTTGAGCATTAAGAGAAAGCTCATAGACTCTAGCTGCGCTCCCCACCTTTCACCACCACTTACGTGCCCCCTCCACGCACAGACACATGCGCGCGCGCACGCTTTCCCCAGTAAGGCTTTAAGTAGTTCATCTTTTAAACAGCCGCAGAGAAACTTTGTAAGACGGGCATGAAGCCGAAGTGATTACCTCCAAGGAGTCACCTTCACAATCACCTTCCTCTGTGCTTCTCCCCTTCTCTTCGGTAATGGTGTTCACCATTTCAAAAAACCTACAATGAGAATTGGTATGTGGTCACTCGCAATACGTTTGACGTTAAATATAACCCAAGTATGTTCCAGCATGGCTTCGGAGCAAAACATGGGCGCTAAGAGACTTTCTAAAATCAGGCAGTGAACAAACTATTGGTATCAGTATGAAAAATGTGATTTTCCAAAAGGGAAAACACAGGTTGGTAGGACTGTCTAGAAATTTCTGACCTAATGCCTCACTTCAAATAATAGTAATGTAATGTATTATAGAATTAGAACAATGAAGCTCGACAAACTCATAGAAATGTTAAGAATGTGGACTTGGATATCAGGCCAAGATTGCATTTGTGTGATTTTGGGTGGGCTCTTCCACCTCTCTGAGCCTCACCTCTTAATTACAAAGTGGGGACCTCAGAAGTGTCATATTAAAGGCTGTTATGAAGATGAGTTGATGTAGTACTTATAAAGTGCTTAGCAGACTTCACTCACTACATATTAGCTATTATTGTTTTGCTGATGGTAATATTCTTATTTAAAATGGGACTTAACAAAAATACCCATATTCTGGAATAGTGTCTCTAAATTCTGAGGTGACTATTTGTTGTATCAACATTTCATCTGAGATATTGAACTCATTTTGCCTCCATTATCATAAATATGGTGTCCCATAAAAACAACCTACAAAACACTGATGTGAATTAGGGCTGGCTGGCTTATAGGTTTGTAAAAGAAGCCACCCCTCTTTTGGTGACATTTTCTTCAGGAGCTCTTCTTGTGAAGTTTGTTTTTTGTTTTTTTTTTTTTTTTTTTTTTTTGTTTTTTCTTGTAGACCATTTCAGAGGCAAGAAAAATAGTTATAGCAAGAAACAGATTAGCCCCTATAATGCTAGCTGTGTCTAGTCTATTCGAAGGAGATGCTAAGGGTTCATAGACTTAAAGCAAGGGAGGTACTATCATCATCAGGGGCTGATGATCTCACAGGCAGGTCATGCTCTGCACTGCCAACCCAAGAGAAGAGCAGGTTATGTGGGATAAGAAAAGTCTACCTACCACAACTCAGAACCTTTTTTATCTCTGTACCTCTTTTTTAAACCATCCACCATCTAACCATCCAACCACCCATCCATCCATCCATCCATCCATCCAACAAGTACTCCATACTTATAGAGTATCTACAAGGATCAAAAACTATTCTGGCCTTTGGAACTGTGACAAGGAACAAAATAGACAAAGCCCATTTGGGAGTTTGGAGTCTATCTCTGGAGTGCGACTCTTCCTTTCTCTCTACACATTTCTTGGCAGTCAATGACAAGAAAAAGAAGTTCCCAAGCATGATCAGAATAACAGTATGCTCTGATGAAGATTAAACATCCTGATGAGTTAAAGATAAAAGCAAATTCAACCAAGAGGAAGAAGAAAGTTAAAGACCTAAAAAAAATTCTGGCTTTAAAGACAGACATTTTTTAAAAATTTTTTTAAATGTTTATTTATTTTTGAGAGAGACAGAGACAGAATGCGAGTGGCGTAGGGGCAGAGAAAGAGGAAGACACAGAATCCGAAGCAGGCTCCAGGCTCCGAGCTGTCAGCACAGAGCCCGATGGGGGGCTTGAACCCACGAGCTGTGAGATCATGACCTGAGCTGAAGTTGGATGCTCAACCAACTGAGCCACCCAGGCTCCCCAAAAGACAGACTTTAAGATATGGGGTGAAGACTTCCATCAGCTAGTCACACAGTTTTTCAACATGTACATCTCTAAGCAGAATATAATACAGTGGGATGGGAACACAATGTAATTTTTAGGAAACTAGATTCTAGAGTCACATGTGCTTGTCCAAATCCCAGATTTTACATTTTTTGGCTATATATGGTTTTAGGCTCTCCAAGATGCCATTTTTTAAAAAATTCTTTTCAATGAAGATATTAATATTACCTACCTAAGTTTTCATTTGAAGATTAAAATAGATATTAGGTCCAGAGTAAGTACTCCATAAATCTGAGCTATAATGATCATAGAAACAAATCAGTAGCCTTGAGAATTTAAGTAGAAAAGTAGACCATACATGTGCTAGGAATTATTTCTTATTTCCAAGTCTTTTTACTACATATTTTACAATAATAAAGATAAAACTATAGCCAAGAATTATGGAGTAAACAAACATTTTTTCTTGTATCAAGATAAAAATGACTGACTATATACTGTAATCAGTATATTAGTCATTTACAATGGGGTCAAATAGTGATTATTTGAATAAGAAAAGCCCTAAGCAAAATTTTAAGTCCAAGCTGGCTTTTACCTGCACTTTGGTTTAAAAATTGTCACTCACTTTCCTAGATCCCCACCATCAGTCAACTGTGCTCCAAGGGAACATGAAGTCCTTAAGTATTAGCCCAAGGGAAATATACCCAGGGAGGTTCACAGAAACACAGTCCAGTCCAGTCCATGGATTTTTGGATTATCTTTTATTGGTGTATATCATATAACTAGCTCTTAACTCGAGCTGCACCCCCACCAGAAAATCCAACATAATTAGTCAGGGGTAGGGCCCAGGCAGTTTTTTAAGTGCATCAAGTGATTCCACTATAAACTAGGGTTAAGAGCCACTGTTGTAGACAATGGTGAGATTATCCAAAAGAATTCAAGAATGAAAATTTTGATAATAATATATTGTAATAAGTGAACACTTTAAAAATGTGACATAGTATCAGGCAATTAACTGGTAAGTCTTGGTTAATGTTTTGTCTTTGGAAAAATTAATTATGACTAAGAGAAAGCTTGATTTATTAAAGAGACTCCCCTCCTCCATTCTCTGATTGTTAAACATACCCCGTAATTATAAGATGTTAGCCTAAATGCAATATTTATATAACCAGATGGCCATGAATTCCTTACATGCTCGCTCATTAATTAAAAATAATGATCAGGTAAGAACAGTATTTTTTACACATAAACAATGACTAATACGTACTTTTTACAATGAAGTTCTGTACAGAAATAGATTTGGAAATCGTCAGAATTATGAAGCACATAAAGAAAACAGCATCGTTCTTCAAATTTAGAAATACTGAAACAAACAAAAAGAATTATTCAGGGAAATAACTATGCTTCTTGCTTCTATGAATTTGTAATGAAAAATAAGTACATTTTATATCTAATCCCAGTTATGACACCATTGTTGTTTGTAACAGACAGATATAAAGAGCCCTTGAAGAAGTGATGTTCCCCATAGCACGATACTAAAATTAGTTCATAGTCTGAGAATTGTCCTTTTACCTATATCAGCAGACAGGGCTGCTCTGGCATGCCTGAAGGACACCTAAGCTATTTATCCCTCCAGCTTACAGGGGAAAGGCGTCCTGGCTGCCATACCACTACCCTGCGTGATCGGAGGAAAAGCTAAGTATCAACTGGCTGGGTGGGCTCCGTGATTCTGGCGCTATGGCATCTGTAGAACAATGAAATGTTTCCAAAGCTAAGAAGGCAATGTGTGGAGGCAATAAAAGCACCTCATCAGTGTCGAGATTTTAGAGGCGTGAAGAAATGTGAAACAGCACTTGGTTTTGACTCAGCAAGTGATTTTATAGCAACTGAAATAATTCTGAGTTTACCATCAGGCCATGCTATTTTATGCCAAAGGTTAGCAAAATTTTTCTGACATGGGCCAGAGAGTAAATGTTTCAGATTTTGCAGGCCAAACTACTCAGTTTTGTTGTTGGAGCAGCCTTAGACAATACACAAATGAAATGAACGTGGCTGGGTTCCAATAAAACTTTACAAAAACGGGCAGCGGGCCATATTTGGCCTGTGGGCTGTAGGTTGCCAATCCCTAATTTATGCCTTTGCATTTGGGATGCACATCATTTTTGACTCTGTAAAGAAATTCTATTCATCATTCAAGGCCCAGCTTAGATCTTACCCTCTCCCTTCCCTGTGTCTACCTTCAACAGAAAGACTTTCTCTTGCACCTCTGCTCCTTGAACATTTACATCTATCATTGCTCATCTCGCGGTCATCTCAGTAGTAGCTCTTGTCATTAGCTGTTAAATGTTATGAGGCTGGGTTGTGACCTCTTTGAGAGTGGGAGTTCATGTTGTGGTCACTGTTGTATTCTTAGCAGAATAGGACTCAACATTTGACAAACACCTGGTGTCTCAGTAAAATGCCCATTGACTGAGCTGAGCAAATCCTGAGGGGATGCAAGACCAACTGCTGACTTAGTTGGATTTTTCTCTGTAGTTTGTTATCTCTTTATCAAGAAGGAAGCCAAGAGTAGTTAGCTCTCTTTGAAGCCATGAACTACAGCTTGAGTTTCTCAACACAGAAACCGGCAACAGCCACATAGAAAGAAGCATTCTACGTATATGCTGTAAGTCACAACAAAGACGTATGTAGTGATGCCATACTTAAATTTAAAAAAACGTTCCTGGAAAATAGATACGATAAAATGGAATTTATATTACCATACTTTCATAAACTGCTTAAAAACGCAGCAATAAACGAGTGCCTTCCTGATGACTGGTTTTAAAAATTAAATATTAAGAGAGTAAAACTTTATTTGAGAAGGCTGGGTTGGAAAGGTATATAATGAGTCAGTCTATTATCTTGCTTGCTTCTGTTCAGATCCTTCATGAGGTAACAGGTGGTTTTACCAGGCAAACTCCAATTATCAGTGACTCAGACGGCTCTAGCAGTTCATGCTCCATCAAAACCAATTATTATTATGCCACAAGCAACAGGGTATTGCATAACTGGCCTGCAGAAATCTGCTTCTTCTCATTTCTATTATGTGGAAATAAATAGTAAACACAACTAATTTGGCCTGAAATTTCCAAGAGCTGGTTTTTAGACTGAGCTTCTATATAACAAGTGTTTAAATGTTTAACCAGTGGTTCTTGCTTCTAAAAAAAAATATCTCATTTCTATACCCCAGGAACTGGTATTTCCTGAACCACTGGCATTATGATGGCAATGTCAGAACTGAACCACTGAAGTGAGCCACTAGAATTTCAGGAACACCTCATTAACAGCGACCTCAGGAAAAGTTTTTAAAAAATAAATTCCCTATAGTCTCTTTAACAGTCACATTAATGTTAACTACAGGATATGCAACCTGATAGATGGCATGTAGTTTTTTGGCTCCACCTAACAGGAGATTAATTCCTGAAACACCAAAAAGACCGGAAAACCATCCTATCACATACACCAACAGCTCAACCAGCTAGAGAGGACCCAAATAGCTCACTTTTATCTACACCTTGATCCTGGTCCACAGTCCACATTTATCCCTCAGTCTCCATATTTGGAGCAGGTGACAAGCAGAGTCAGTTCAACTAACAGTGAAAGTTTTGGTTGCAAGTCTTTTTATAATAGAGATAGAAACGGTTGAGCATTTTCATCAATAGAGGATTCTTGAAGTTCTTTGCATTTTTAAATCCTGACTAAAAGTTCTATTGTCTTCTAAGTAAAAAAAGAAAAAAAAAAACATGTGCCAAGGAAACTTACCTCACTCCCCTGACAGAAGAAGCACTAAAATTCCACTCATGTATACCTTTCTAGAACACAGGGGAAGAACAACAAGAACAAGAAATGTTGAGTCATCATAATGAAAATAACATAATAATTTGGTTTCATTATTTTAAAATAATATACACAGTAATTTTTCCTAGTACATAATTCTTCATGAACAAATTATCTGGATGGAAATTGTAATTCATTTTCAAGCCACAAGGGTGATGTTTACTCTATTTAATAATTTCTGTGCTTCAATAAAATAGCTTCCAAGAGAATCTAGGAGAATTAGTCTCATTAAATTCTAAAACTTGATTTTTAGCAGATTAACCTAATAACTGCTGTGCCTTAATTTTTTAAATAAAAAACCCAGTGATCAAGATAATTCAATTACAGCTGAGTAATATTTCTTTTCTGAGAAATAAAAACATTAATTTGAATCAAGTTCTGCAAGGTTTTAAAGATGATTATTTATGAATGATATTTAGTTACATTTTCTAACTGAAATGGTGGTTCTATTTCTTCAGAAAATGAGGTTAGCCCTTTTCTCTTAAAATTTTTAATGTTTATTCATTTATGAGAGACAGGGCATGAGTGAGGGAGGGGCAGAGAGAAAGGGAGACACAGAAACTGAAGCAGGCTTCAGGCTCTGAGCTACCAGCACAGAGCCTGATGCGGGGCTCAAACCCACGAACCGTGAGATCATGACCTGAGCCAAAGTTGGATGCTTAACTAACTGAGCCACCCGGGCACCCCTATAGCAAGTATATATGTACACACATGTATATAGTATACATCTTAGCTACAGTGTGTTATCTAATTTATGCAAAATTCAATATACTAATAAAGTTTGCCCATAAAAAATTTGATTGTCATATGATAAACATGGGTGATTTGGGGCCAAGGTGAAAAAAAATTGTGGAAATTTATTTTTTGAGTTTATTACTAAAGCTAAGTCTGATGAGTATTAAATTCATGTCTTTAAATAAATTACATGATGGATCACATTCCCTGCAAAAATACATCTGATAACAATATGAAATTGACAACATAAATATTTTAATAGAAATAAAATAGTTGATACACATGTCCAAGTTTAGCAAGTGCTATGCAACAGTCAATTCAGATGGCAATTCAATTCTGTAAATGTGAAACAACCAGGAAAAGAAGCTCTTACCCACCCACTTAAAATACTGCCCGGAACTTGCGGTCTTGGCTGGGCTAGTGAAATGAGTAAGGAAGCTTGTGGTTCTGAGGTGGACCAGAACTCTCCTTTTGGCTGAAGCAAATCAAAAAGCCACAATTTATAACCACAGCACCTAGTGCTTTGCTACAACCATGCAACTTAAAATAAAAATAGATCCTCCCAAGCCCAAAGGAGATTTACTAAAAAAACTAGTTTCGATGCACACCAGTCAGGTCACGGGTAGGTGACCTGAATTAACACAGAGCAAATGTTGTGCATGAAGCCCAGGGAAGGAAGAGACCATAGGAAGGTGCTCATGGAATGTGGCTCTCTTAACCAGAGTACAGAGGGAGTTAAATTAAAATAGCAGCCTGCAGCTTCAGCTGGTAATTTGGAAAGTTGCTTCTAAATCCTGTTGGCCTCAGGTGACCTTCTAAATATACGTGACCCAGGAACTGCAGCTGTTACCTGCACACTACTTGCATACAATGCAGCCTTATCCTCAGATCCTGCAACTGAGCTGCTTTCCAAGGCCACGTCCAAGATCAGGAGGTGGGGGTTGAATGCAAAACTAATGCAGCAGTAGTTGCAACTAAACAGGGCAACTGATGAACACCCATAGGACACCACAGGTAAAACCTATCTTCTATCAGTCCTGTGCTGGGAACAGCCAAGGAGGGATTTCCCAGATTGATAGGGCCGGTTTTACAGGAAAGGAGAACAGCATTTCCAGAATGTTAGATTCCTGAAAGTTTCCAAGTGCTGCCAGTGAATGCTCCCTGTTAGCAGTGTAAAAAGTCCAGGGTCTGAGATGGAGTGATCTAGAATGAGGAGGCCTACCTCCCCAGCTCCCTCACTACTGGGACTCACCACATGGAGGCGGTGGTGAGTCACAAAGACAACCCGTGGATTTAACAGGTTCCTGGGACCCGTCTGGGAATCCAGGGAAAAGGACAGCCAGAGGCAGGGCTGGAATAATTAGCCTCCACAAGCCCTAAACCACACTCAATCTAATTTAAACAGCACAAGTACCATATTGTGGAACTGGTTTGCCTCAGATCCTATGCCCCAGCTAGGACAAGAGTAGGGACTGGGAATTAATTTTGAGCTAAGGCGGCAGGAGTTACACATTGGCAGACACTGTTGGTTCCTTAGACAACGGACACGCTTTTCCTTCTTTGCTAACAAAAACTAAATTTTGTTCAAGTTCAGGTGGCAGTGTTTAGGGATGGGGAAACTGATTGGTCTAAATTGGTGAGGTAAGTCCATTCTCCTTGTTCATGACTGGTCTAGGCATGAATACATGATGTAATTTTTGGTACAAAGGAGAGGGCCTGACCCTTTTCCTTTGCATGCTGTCAGTGTGAATTCATGCTTGGAACTGCTATTTGAGACCAGGAAAGAAAAACCGAGAGCATATAGAGAAGCCAATTCAGAATTCTGACACCATTAAGCCACTGAAATTACCCCCAGAATGACCTCCTACCTCCCAGAATTCTTGTTATGCAAGATAACGTTTCCTTATTACTCAAGCCACTATTAGTTGGGAGCTTTATAGCTAAAAGCATCCTTGATGGATGAGACTATTATATCATCGAAATCTAGAATCTGCCTAGGTGGCTCAGTTGGTTGAGTGTCTGACTCTTGATTTCAGTTTGGGTCATGATTTCAGCGTCCTGGGATAAAGCCCTGAATCGGGCTCCACGATGAGCGTGGAGCCTGCTTGGGATTCTCTCTCCCTCTCCTTGTGCCCCTCCCCCCGCTCATGCTCTCTCTCGAAAAAAAATTGTATAGAATCATAAATTTCCCGGGTCTTCTCCGAGTGGCCATGGCCGGAGCTGGAGGAAGGTCAGCACTTCATATTCCACTGGGACCCTGATGCCTGATATCTTCTTCTGAGAAACCACCTGATAGGCCAGGAATGCTTAGACTTTAAAAAAGGAAAGGATTCTAGGGGGCCCCTGGGTGGCTCAGTTGGTTGGGTGTCCAACTTTGGCTCAGGTCACGATCTCACAGTTTGTGAGCTTGAGCCCCACGTTGGGCTCTGGGTGGACAGCTCAGAGCCTGGAGCCTGCTTTGGATTCTGTGTCGCCCTCTCTCTCTCCTCTCCCCCACTCCCATTCTGTCCCTCTCTCTGTCTCTCTCTCAAACATAAATAAACATTACGAAAAATTTTAATTAAAAAAACAAAAAAGGAAAGGATTCTAAATGAGAACTGTTTAAAATATCTCAGAAATAACTTTCTTCCTCAGTCTAAGCTTTTCTTTCCTGTGCACATCCAGACTTTCTTCAAGTACTAACTTGACTTTAAGCAGCAACCATCCATTGAACAAAGAGAGAACTGTTAAAAGATTAGGATCTCAATTTATTTGGTTCTTGACGGAGAGTAACCCTCTAAGAGTCCCTGAACTCTTAGGAATTAGTATAATGATCTTAACATTTTGACAGTTGCAGTACAAAGTGTTTACCAGCTCATGTAACTGTTCACTCTGCATGTTAGAAAGAAAATACTGAGGGGAGTAAGGAAACATGATAAATGAAAAGCAACACTCTCTATTCTACCTTTAGAAAAAAATTTAAAACATTCTGTGACAAAAAGAATCCATTTCTTGTTTAACATCAGACCGATACCCCTGTTGTTTATCTGTTATTTAATTATAGTTATTACAGTTGCTTGAAACTCATATAATGCTGAGTTATTGTATTGCATATCCTCATTCCAGTGGCGTCACTTCTATTTTATTTGTTTTTAATTTTTTTAATTTATTTTTTAAATTTACATGCAAGTTAGTTAGCATACAGTGCAACAATGATTTCAGGAGTAGATTCCTTAATGCCCCTGACCCATACTTCTATTTTAAATAATAGGGAAATAACAGTGGTAATGAACACGCTATGGATAGAGCTAGGGTTTGCAAAGAAATCGACATACGTTCAAACAGAAACTTATTTTAAAAAGCTTAAATTTTTGAACACGGAGAATTTTTAGCGCCGTGGGGACAATGCAAATGTCATTCTTCTTGATCAAAGGATGGTAAAAGTAGAAACTGGATAACTCACAGCCTAAATCCATAACTCTTCCTAACGCACTCTTTTACATCCTCATATATTGACTTCTTAGCATAATGCAAAAATCTCTACAAATGTCACAAAACATAAGAGAGTCAATACAAGGCTAACTGTACTCAACAAAGAACTTCCAGACAACTAGCTGGAAATAGTACTCATTTTCCAAAAATCTCTGGCTTACTTTCTGTTCTTTTTCTGTCTTCTGGCTGTCTACTCATTCTCCTGGCCCTGCTAATTGCTAATTCCTTTAGCCCCATTCTGTTTCCAAGTGTCCTTGGATAACCTTGCTCTTTCCAATCGAGCCTTTGAAAATCTCCTCTCCCAGATAATAATGTTCATGTTTCCTAACCTCTCTTTAGATTTTGTAGTTTCAACTGCAGGATTAAGTCTGCTTGTGAGAACATAGAGGCATATACTTTAAAATAATGTGAATGACACACTGTGTACTTTAAAACAACGTTAACAACATATATACATGGTTATTATTATTAGTTATTATTAGTTATTCTCAATTCTGTCTCTAAACAACTCCACCTGGAGTTATGTCATCATGCCAGCTATTAATTGGGGTTCCAAGGACCCCCCCCCCCACTCCTTGTGTTTGATTAATTTGTTAGAGTGGCTCACAGATCTCAGGAAAACATTTTACTTATTAGATTACTGGTTTATTATAAAAGGATATGACTCAGGAAATAGCCAGGTGGAAGAGTTACATGGGGCAAAGTATGGAGAAAGGGCTAAGAGCTTCCATGACCCCTCCAGGGGCACCATTCTGCCCAAATCTCCACATGTTCACCCACCTGGAAGCTCTTTGAACCCCGCCCTTTTTGGGTTTTTTACGGGGGCTTCATGACATAGGGATGACTGATTAAATCCACTGGCCATTGGAAATGGATTCAACCTCTCCCCTTTCCCCTCCCCAGAGGCCAGGGGGTGGGACTGGAAGTTCTAACCCTCTAATCCTATAGTTGGTGCTCTTGGCATCCAGGTCTCATCCTTAGGTGGATCCAAAAGTCACCTTATTAACATAACAAAAAACAAAACAAAAAAACAGAGATGGCTTTCAGCACTTAGGAAATTCTAAGGGTTTTAGGAAATCTGTGCCAGAAAGAGATGAAGACCAAATATTTATTTCTTACTATAAATCTCAATATCACGGTGCCCTAATATGATGCCAACAACCTCCCAAATGATTGCTGCTATTTCATCTAAAGAGCTAAGCCAGGTTAAGTTCTAAGGGATAGGTTAGGGATTAGTTCATATGTGTTTTGCCATAAATTTTATTGTTGTGAAAACAACACTTATTACATGTCAGGCTCTGTGCAATTATACCCTACCTATACTATTTCATTTAATTTTAACAATAACCTTTTGAGATGGATATTACTACTATACCATTCTAAAAATAAAGATACTGCAACATGCAGAAGCCATGTTGCCAAGGGCAGAGATAGGACTTAAACCCAGGACTGTTGACTCAAAGACATTTAAAAACATTGAAATTGACATTTCTAAAAATTGCAAGCCCATTTCTCTAACTGTACGTCCTAATTCCCCCTTTTGTGCTGTATCACATTCATCATTGAATACACTTCTATATTTATTTATTTACTGCTTGAGTAGAAAGGCAGAAATTTCGCTTATTTTGTACACATCTGTTTCCTTACTGCCTAACACAGTGCCTGGTAGTGCCTGTCACAGAGTAAGTGCTCTGTAAATATGTGTTGAGTGCATGGATGATTGGTAAGGAAAATTATAAGGGTATTTTGGAAAACAATTACCAAAAACCTCACAAAACTACTTTGCCACACGTCTTCTCTCATTTCTGCGGTTTATCCTATGAACTGGAATCAAGTCTTGAAATTTTTCTATTTTTAAAAAATAGTAGGATTTGTACACATATTAAAACTAATAAAATACAGAAGTGGAAAGGGTTATCCAAATGACTGTGAGGAGTGGAAATGAGAGCATTTCAGACCCTTCTGAAAGCCAAGGCAACACAGTCCTGCTCATATTGTGTCAGCACATGGAGCCAGTGACTAATGTGAAATTGAGCAGCTGCTTAGATAACCCAACAGTGTCATGGAATGCTAACTATAATCATACTCGGGTAGGACTAGAGTGGCATTATTATGATAGGCTCCCTAGAATTATGATACACTTCTTTTGGGGCGCCTGGGTGGCTTAGTTGAGTACCCAACTCTTGATTTCAGCTCAGGTTATGAGCTAATGGTTCATGGGTTTGAGCTGTGCGTTGGGCTCCATGCTGACAGTGCGGAGCCTGCTTGGGATTCTCTCTCTCCCTCTGCCTCTCTGTCCCTCCCCTGCTCATGCTCACTTGCTCTCTCTCTGTCAAAATAAATAAATATAACTTAGGGGCGCCTGGATGGCTCACTAAGCTAAGTGTCTGCCTTCAGCTCAGGTCATGATCTTGCGGTTCATGGGTTGGAGCCTTGCGTCGGGCTCTGTGCTGACCGCTCAGAGACTGGAGCCTGCTTCAGATTCTGTGTCACCCTTGCTTTCTGCCATTCCCCTGCTTGTGCTGTCTCTCTCACACAAAAATAAACTTAAAAAAAAATATATATATATATATATAATTTCAAAAAAAGGCATCTTGTAAGTCATATATATTAAGATCAGTTCTCTGAAATATAATTTAATTTATAACATGAGTTTACAAAACAAAATAATCTTCTAATTTCAGGCTTACTTTAGATGGTTATGCCATCTAAAATAAAAATGCAAATAGGTTCAGTTATTTTATTAAGTGAATGAAATTCATAATCCATGTTTAACAAATTTTATATTATAGGACATAAGTATTTATGCCAAGATAAATACATGGTAAGCTATTTCTTCTTAACTAATACAGGTATTTGCTGGAATATATAAATGCTAGAAGGGAGTAAAGTCCTTTAATGCTTGTGTGTTAATAATTACACAATTTACCTTGTCATCAGGAAGCACATGCCAAATAGATATTGTCTTTTCCTCAACTTCATTGTTGATAGACAAATATGAAGGCTGATAGATTTTAGTTGGTTCTAATATTAACACCTTGAAAACATAAGGCAAAGAAACAAATATTAGTGACTTCAGATTTAAATCATTTAGAGCTGTAATAACAACACTGCACTGATGTGGGAGGTTATCAGACGAGGCTCTGGGTCCACTGCTGCAGTAAAACCATTTTAATTCTTAATTGTTGCCTTCCTTATGAGTCCTTTGAGCATTTTATGGTATTATTGTAAGTTCCCATGATGCATCACTTTTTTTTGCTAAAGAAATTGGAAATAAATTTTTTTTTAATTTTTTTTTTCAACGTTTATTTATTTTTGGGACAGAGAGAGACAGAGCATGAACGGGGGATGGGCAGAGAGAGAGGGAGACACAGAATCAGAAACAGGCTCCAGGCTCTGAGCCATCAGCCCAGAGCCCGACGCGGGGCTCGAACTCTCGGACCGCGAGATCGTGACCTGGCTGAAATCGGACGCTAACCAACTGCGCCACCCAGGCGCCCCTGGAAATAAATTTTTAAAGTCCATATATTGGTTTCACTATTCCCAGGGAATGTACTCTAATGATGTATTTTTAAAAATTTTTTATGTTATTTATTTATTACTGAGATAGAGGGAGAGTGTGTGTGCAAGCAGGGGGAGGGGCAGAGAGAGAGGGAGACAGAGAATCCCAAGCAGGCTCTGAGCTGTCAGCGGAGAGCCCGACATGGGGCTCAAACTCATGAGTTGTGAGATCACAACCTGAGCCGAAACCAAGAGTCAGACACTTAAGTGACTGAGCTACCCAGGTGCCCCTCTAATGATATATTTTTAAAGTCTTTTATTTTATCTTGCAATACATGCATAATCTATTTCTATAAATATAAATATGTCCAAAAAAGGGCAGAAATGTGGTAAAGTAAATAATTCTGTACTTAGAAAAGATTCTACATATAGAGCGCCACATACTATTTTAGGTTTTCTCCTGCCACACCTTACCATCAAGATGTGGTAGCATGTTTTTCATACCCATGTAAATAGAGTGAGAAATGATTCTGGTTATTATTGAGTTTTATATATAAGGCAAAGGAAAGGACATAGCTGTATGAAATAATAAAAATGTTTTTGCACTGCTTTAAGATAAAACTGGGATCTTCACTAATGATATATTTAGCCTTGTGAGAGAGAGAAATAAAACCGACTCCTGTTTTGGAGATGTATGAGGGATATGTAATAAGTGAGTTGAGAATCTCTCTCAAAGGATGTAGCATATTATTACTGATATCTGGTATTAGGTACAGATAATATCAAAATGCCACACATGCACTAATTTTAAAGGTACTTCAACTATTATCTGTTTGTACAGACGCTTAAAAGCACCTACTTAGCTCAAATTTCCCATGCAGTCTTAAGTATAGGAATATTTAAAAAAAATTTTTTTTTTAACGTTTATTTATTTTTGAGACAGAGAGAGACAGAGCATGAATGGGGGAGGGTCAGAGAGAGGGAGACACAGAATCCGAAACAGTCTCCAGGCTCTGAGCTGTCAGCACAGAGCCCAACGCAGGGCTCGAACTCACAGACCACGAGATCATGACCTGAGCCAAAGTCGGCCGCTTAACCGACTGAGCCACCCAGGCACCCTAAGTAGGAATATTTTAAAAGGAAAGGAAAGCCAATACTAAACTATCAGAGAAACTAGAATAGTTCTTTCTACCCCACTGCTTAAAACTCAAGGAAAGTGGCTTTTAGAAAGAATCTTCTATCAAATAAGTTGACCAAATAAAAGTGGAGGAAAAACCCAAAAACCCTTCAGAAGATTCTATCAGCAAGGGATTATGGATTTACACTACACTGTGATCTAGCGTGCAATCTGAGCAAGAAGGCACATGGATTAGCAACCTGACTCTTGGCCATGCACTGCAAACTTAGTACTGATTTTATGCTATCTTTGTTTTTCTAAAATTTTTTTAACATTTTATTCATTTTTTGAGAGACAGAGAGAGACAGAGCATGAGCAGGGGAGGGGCAGAGAGAGAGGGAGACACAGGATCTGCAGCAGGCTCCAGGCTCTGAGCTGTCAGCACAGAGCACAACGTGGGGCTCGAACCCACGAACCTCAAGATCATGACCTGAGCCGAAGTCAGACACTTAACTGACTGAGCCACCCAGGCACCCCTGATTTTATGCTATATTTATCACAACAGCAAATTTATTTAAATTAGAATACAGAGAACTACAGAAAGTAGATTAAGAAGACAAAATTTTCTTTACTCTTAAGTATAAAAAAACTGCAAGGGCTTAATTCTTGGTCAGGCTCTAGTTATGAAAATAAGATAGAACAGATTACAAATAAAGCACAGTAAGAGCCCACCAGGGAACATATTCTGATTTAGGAACATACCAGGTAAATCAAGTTCCACATTCCAATCAACAGAGAGTGAAGTGGTACTGATTAATAATGGAAATAAACTTTCAATCTAAACTTGGCAGAATTAGTGCTTTCAAATCTGAGTATCCCAATGTTTGTGAAATGAAAATGAATAATAGGAAATAAAAGGTGGGTCTTCCAAAATAGCTTCCAAGTCACTATACCGACAAATGAGAATATACCTTTTTCTCTAATTATGTGGGCACAGAATTTAACATTAGAAAAACACAACACCAGGTTATCTCCTCTCTTCTCAAATTATGTCTTTATTGTGTCTCAAATATTTCTAACAGATAAAATCCGACCTATGTTTTCCCATGTCGAGATAGGGAAAAACATCGGTTGTAATTATCATCATCTAACATTTGTTGAGACCTTTGAAGTGTTCTACCCTTGAAATGACAAAATGGGAGGAATTTATGGCACACATTACAGAGGTAACAGAAAGACTGAGAAGGGAGAAGGAAAAAGGCAATTTGACAAAACTGGCTAGACACAACTCACTTGAAATATAAACATGCTTCCTTTTAGTTTCTAATCTTTTATACTGGTTAACATTAAAATTAACTGCTAAACAAAATTTTTAAAAAAGTAAAATTAACTGTTAACTTCTTGCATCTGAAGTGGGAATGACAGCAGTATAAGGCCTATAAGCTATACAGAGTAGATTTTTAAAAAAATTTTTTAACGTTTATTTATTTTTGAGAGAGAGACACACATACAGAGCACAAGGAGGGGAGGGGCATAGAGAGAGGGAGACATAGAAGCAGGCTCCAGGCTCTGAGCTGTCAGCACAGAGCCTGACGTGGGACTCGAACCCATGAGCAGTGAGATCATGACCTGAGCCAACGTCGGATGCTCAACCGAATGAGTCACCCAGGCACCCTATATACAGAGTAGATATTAAATAGAGGTACATGTCTCAGCTCCTATAAGAGTCCGTAAAAGCAGCATTCTCCTCTCCTCTCACCTAGCCTGGGGTGATGGGTTGATGGTTTCCTAACTGTTCAATGTAGGAAGAAAAGAAAATCTACATAGAAGAGAGGTGAGAAAAAAGAATCAACTGAACTGCACCCAAGTAATAATAACTGATGGGACCATTCAAATCATTTTGCTAAGAAACTTTTGTCTGTTTTCTTTTACCCAGGGTCACTATTATTTCTTAGAGGAATGAGAACAGATATGGTGGTGAAATAAATGGAAACAATCAAATAAAATACTTCTAATATAAATCATCTGGATTTTAGTCAGATCCACACTAAAAGAAGGATAATGCTATCACCCCAATCAAGACCTACAGTGGCCTTCATAAGTGTGAACTAAAGATGCTACTCTAAAGACATAATGAGTTAGTGACTGATATGACACCACAAGTACTAGAAACATGATTTTTTCTATGTGGTGATACAGGGGGAGCAAACTCCAATGGCTGCAGGGAGTGGGCCCAGTGGGAAAGGCAGAGGAGTGAAGCAGGAAGGATGGGACTGTAACCAGCATCTAACATGGCACCAGCTAGTTGACTTAGTAGGTTGTTGCTTGTGGAGAAGGCCAGTCACAGATTGTCAGTTCCTTTCACTTTTCAATAGCTAAAAATCTAGATTTTTGTATGAACTGTCCTTATTTTCACTTGACTTTCTTATAAACTTTATTTTTCAGTTTACTGCCTTTTCATTTATTTTGTCTTTCTTTTTATCTTCTTTAACATAGTAATTATAGTTATTTGAAGTCTTATGTGGTCACTTTAATATGTGAATCACTTCTGGGCCTGCCTCTACTGGCTGTTTTAGCTCTTTGTTATCCATCACTTTTTTCTGCTTCTTAGAATGTCTAGTAATCTTTGATTGTGTCTGAATGACACAATGCAGAGGCTCTGGATCATATCCTCCCAGAAGTTTCCCCACCCCTGCTCCCTAGCTAGCAGTCAAATTATCAGTGCTTCATCTTGATCCTATCAAGGCTTAGTTTTATTACAGCTTTGTTAGGGTGGATCTGTTTTAGTTTCACCTTTTCTCCTAGGGCAAGGGCTTTCTATGTTGCCACTAAATGCTTGGGGTGTTCAGCAAGGTCTCATCACCCAAAGTCCAACATCTTATCCCTGCATTGGTTAAGCTCTGGGATATGTGCTCAGCTCTCAACCTTCAAAAGAATGCTCTCTACCACTTCTGGTCCTGGTCCTCTGTATAGCAAGGGAATTTACCTTGTTAAGGTTTACTTAATACACAGGTTTCATCTAAAATCCAATTTTAGTCAAATACTGGGACCAGCAATTGCGGTTACTTACACTGTGCTTACCCCCTGTTCACACTATCTAGAGGTTGTCCTAGGACTCAAGGGAAATACCCACACAGAATCCTGGGATTCATTCTTCAAGGCTCCCCCTTCTCCAACACCCTCTCCATCTGTCTGAGAGTCCCAAACACTCCTTCCTGTCTGCTCTGCCCAGGGAGAATGCTATTCCCTGCTAGGGCTCCACCTCCTTGGGCTGCAGTCAGAAAAACACCTTACAGAAAAAAAGCAGGTGAAGGTGGGACTCAACTCCAGTACCTCCCTGCTCAAGGATCACAACCCTGCGATGACTGCTATTTAATGTCTACAAACAGTATTTTACATATTTTGTCCAGATTTTTATAGTTATTTATAGCAATAGCAATACCAATATTATTTACTCCATCATAGCTGGCACTAAAGAACCAACTCTCCTTATTTTTAAATGTTGGCAACAAATTATTATTATTATTATTATTATTATTATTTTAATCACTGAGTGGTCTTTTACTTAATGCTTATTTATTTTTGAGAGAGAGACAGAGAGCAAGCAGGGAAGGCGCAGAGAGAGAGGGAGACACAGAATCTGAAGCAGGCTCCAGGCTCTGAGCTGTCAGCACAGAGCCCGATGCAGGGTTCGAACCCACGAACCACAAGACCATAACCTGAACCAAAGTCGGATGCTTAACTGACTGAGCCACCCAGGTGCCCTATCACTGAGTAGTTTTTTAAACACGAACTTAATCATATGCACAACCTGACACATAATAAGAGAAACACTAATTAAAACCATCCTAATATACCATTTTTTCATCTGTAAGTTTAAAAAAGTACAAATATGATAAACACACCTTTTAGGAGAGACTTTCGGAAAATAGTCAGTCTCGAATGTTGCCAGTGAGAATGTCAATTGATACAATTCCTATGGAGGGCAAAGGGGCAATATCAATCAATTTCACTTCTGGGAATTTATCCTACAGACAGATGTGCACATGTGCAAAATGGCACAGGTACAATGTCTCATTTTAATTTGCATTTTTGACTAGCCAGTGAGGTTATTATCTTTTCATGTGATTTGCCCATTTTCTTTTTCTTTTGCTTACCAATTAGTAGGAGTTGTTTTTTTTTTCTTTGTGCAATTAGGCAAATTGATCATTTTGCTGCATTAATATTAAATATTTTCTCCCTGTCTAGCATTTGCCATGTTTATGGTGTTCTTCACTGAACAAAAGTTAGAATTTTTAATGAAATCAAATTGGTCAATATTTGCCTTTAGGGCTTAAAGGTCCCTTTCTTGCTTAATTAAGAAAGCCTCTCTCACCAAAGTATATACCTATATTCTCCTAACATCTCTCTTACTATTTTCGAGTTTTATTTTTTATATTCATATCATGACAGACAAATTCACATTAAACTAATTTAAATTAGCTCAGAATAGCTAATATGAGTGGTTTCTTTTCATAGCTGATTTTCTATTCAATCAAGCCAACAGTCAATTAGGTACTTCAGTTCTGTGCTGTCTTCTTTCCCCACGTTTGCTATCATCAGAGCATCAGCTGAAGGCATGCTGCCAGCTCACTCTGAGATAAGTATTTTCCTAGGTTACACATTATCTAGGCTAGAAAACAAAGTGTTTTAGTTTGAAAGGCTTTTCAAATGAAGATCCTGCGGAGCTCAAGGCTTCATCGGCAAGGAAGAGTGAAGAAAGCGTGTTAATGCCAGCAATGGATTTAATGAAATGAAACAGATGATCCTACAAGCAAGAACTGGAGAACGAGAATTAGAGAAAAAGAATTGAGCGTGGTTACCACCTGAATAGGGAGGACTGGACTAGAGAGCTCAAACAGAGTTTTACGGCATCACTTTGACGTGGGAGGAGATTAGTGCACACAGTGACTTGGTAATTCTTGAATCAGATGCTAAGCCTATACTGCTCTGGATGGCATTCTGAGAGCCATCAGGATGGGAAAGGCAGCAGCTGAGAAGATGAGCAATATATTTTTAAAAGTGTGTGTGTGTCTACTATACATGTATCTATATCTATATCTGGCCAAAATAAGTTGCAAACTGGAACCTATGAGTCATCATTTCTCACGATCCAAGGCATTGTAAAAGGTGGCTAGGGACACTAAATCTAACTCTGACCCATGTGGGTAATGAGTGGTCTAGATGGAATAACGACCCAGGTGAGCTTGACACTTTTCACCACAATAATGGTAACGATACTGATGACAATGTTAACAAAACTGTAGTATGAATTAACAGCACCCTTGTGTCTGGTCGGAAGCGATATGTTGACTAACTGCGCTAAGCAAGAGACAATCTTTTCTTGGAAAGCACACTTTACAACTTATCACAAGAAATCACCCAATTTCATGGCAAAAACATAAAGATGTATCTCACTTCTCTGATTTTGAGAAGTTATTTTTAAAAAGTAACACTAGTACTATTAAAATCACAGTGCAAGATGTTCTTTAAATAAAAGAAACAAAATAGAAATGCACTTAAAGTTAAGTTAAATGAAGAGTACTCACCGGAAACCTAACTACAGTAACATCTGTCTTTGTGGCCTCCACCAGGAAATCCATCCAGAAGTCCACCAGCTCCTGTTTGGCCACAGGCTGCTCTGTAGTCAGTTTCACAAAATGCTTATATATCAAAATTGTCTCTACAATAGACTTGAGGTACCTAAAAATGAAAAGATATAAAACACACAATGGGCAAATTTAGAACCACCTGTTCCCATGTATCCTGGTTTTAATCTGTGGATGTAATTGAAATACAGCGTTAATATTTAGGTATTCCGATTCCCCACACATTACTCATTATTTGTTATATGCCATGGACTTTCACGTACGTTGTCTCCTCTGTATCTCACAAAAATTCAATAAAGTAGGCTGTTATAACATCATTTTAAAGATGAGGAAACTGAGGTGCAGAGGGCTTAAATTGCTTGGACTGACTGATACGTCTGCTGAAAACATGACTTTTACAAAAATGCCTGTCTTCTATTCAAGGGAGTGGTTAATGCACATGTTTTAAAATATGCTTCCATGAGAAAGCTTTTCTAAATAGACCCTTCATAAGGGATCATTATTTTGCTTTGAAGCAACTCAGCTGATATATTATACAAATACCCTCCAACCTAACAAGACAGATGGCGCCTCAAAGGAAAAAGTTAGGACAAAATGAGGAGCAAGATAATTACATGAATTAGTGGGTTTGCAAGTACTTCATAAGCTATAAACATGGACATTAACATTAAGTGAATGGACACTTAAGGCATTGTTTTGTGGTTATTACTGTTGCATAAAATAATGTCTGCTTTCTTGTCAACAGAAGCTGGGATACCTCACACCAAAGCTCTTTGGACCTGTGCTTCAGCCCCTTCTGGACCATCAGAATGATCACTGTAAAGAAATGACAGATTTGGCAGCATGTAATGCAGACATTTATTGGTTCATTTATTTCATGTCATTTGCTGAACACCTACTGTTGACATCGCACTAATGGTACAGCCCTGTTCCTAAGTAGCAGCACACAGTGCCGAGGAGACAGGAATGTAAAAGGGATAGCACAGCAACCTAAATATCAGTAGGGCTACCAATACACAGAGATACAATTAACCAAAGTCAGGCTCTGAGCTGTCAGCACAGAGCCTGACGCAGGGCTCAAACCCACGAATCGTGAGATCATGACTTGAGCCAAAGTCAGACACTTAACCGACTGAGCCACCCAGGCACCCCTAATTTAAAAATGACAAACACGAAAGAAGATTTCATGAGATGAACTAATCACATGTGTTTATGCAATAACACCCACATGCTTCTATCCGGATGCAGAAAAGGGTTTTAGGTGGGGGTCTGGTTTGTGGGCAGATTTAGGAAGGTCCCCAGGTAGAGAAGATCCCCAGAAGAGGCCTTCTCAGTGTGTGCTGAGACACAAATGCATGAAGCCACAGTCTGGCACATTTCATGTGACTGGAGAGCAGTGTAACCGGGGGGTGTGACAAGATCGGAGGCTGGAATGACTAAAGGCAAACGTTGTTCACCAGCCAAGGAGGTGGACTTTATCCCTTAGGCTGTGAAGAGCCATTCAACCATATTGATTTAAGGATTTCAGTGGAGGGGAAGGGTCAGACATGAATTTTTGGGAAGACCACTATAAGTGTGATACTGGGGAGGGTTTGCTAATGAGAAGACCTGAACGTGAGGAATTCTTTTAGGAAGCCATAGGGACCTACAGTGGTAAGCATCTCCTCAAGTGGTTCCTTTGATGAAAACAAGTCAGTGGTCCAGTCTCTGAGCCGCCCTGAGCCTTTCTTGATATCATGGTCAACCTTTTAAAGTCTTTACGGCTAGTGATCATCACACATGATATATAATAAAATCAGCATTGTTTTCCAAAACAGTCCTAAATGCACATGGAATTTTGCTTTCATCTCTTCAATTACCACATACATAATGATGAGACTTGGGGGCACTCCAGGAACAATTTGAAATGAGACAAATACACACATATAGGAAACATTCAAATGCATTAACAAGCCTTAGCATAAAGAAGTGAAAATCAACAATGAGAATCCCAAAACAGATTAGGTCATAAAGAGAACATAGGGTATACGTTTGGGGCAGAAACAGGGGAGGTTGGGATAAAAATCTGTCAATCTACCGATTCGATTTGCAGGTGCAAAATGTGAGGCCTCTGCATGATTCCTCTGGGTAACCCTAGCCAACTTGGGCTAGTGGGTTGGTCAATGTCATGAAAAGGCTAAGCTGAAGGCACGCAGACCTCACCTATGCCCAAAACCACCAGAACCTATATTCAACACATTTTATTTATGAACATGAGGTTTTCCTCTAAATTCTACATTTCGTTCTATAAGCAAATAAATTAAATCTAATCGTCAGTTCAACAAATAAAACAATTTGGAAATAAGTGATAAGAGTTGTTTATTAAAAGTAATTGCTTAGACACATAACACTTCACTATTACCATGCTGGCGTCTTCAGTTTAAAAAGCTTTTCAGATGCTTGGATGACTCTCATGTGGTCATTGGCCAGGACACTGGCACCCAGAAAAAATCCAACTTCCCAGTAGCTCTGGAGTTTTTCTAAATTTCCCTTTTTACCAAGAAGGCTACTTAGCTTCACCCCTGGAAGATCAACAGGAAGTACAATGTTACAAACACACAGCACCCAGGCAGAGCCTTTTTAATTTAAAAAAAAAAAAAAAAAGCCAGACATTTTATTAAAATACAATAAGCTTTTATTTCCTCCTTTCAGATTCAAATAGCTTTAAGTGTCAATTATAAAAGGGGTTTAAGTTCATTTAAAAAAAATCACTTTAATTTGAAAGTCCAAAGATAACTGCCACTGTCACTTGGATGTGCATCATTCCAGAATTTTAATATATGCCTGCACTGTATATGCATAAATTAAAAGGCGGTAACACCTTGTTGTGTAACCACCTTGCTTCCCTTATAATAACAAAGATCCTTTAGTTACTTGAAAGGGAAATATGATGCAATTCTATCACTCATTGAATTGAGTATAATTGGGTCAATTCAATAATGATAAATAGTAACAAAAATAATTAATAAAATAATAATTGAGTATAATTAGGCAATAATTAATAATAATTTTATATGCAAAAACAATTATATACTTAGAAAGTTTAAGAAATAAGGAAAGTGGCAGATAACACTGTCTTGATCACTGTTGCTTTGTAACAAGATTTGAAAATTAGGTAATGTAAATCCTCCAACTTTGTTCTTTTTCAACATTGTTTTGGTTCTTCTGGGTTTTTTTGCATTTCATTATACATTTTTGTCTCTACTTTGCCTTCTATTATTTTTGCATTTGCATTCTTTTGTTTAAAAAGAATATATCCTTGTAAAACTGTTAATTGCCACTAGTATTCACAACATTAAAGTATCAGGGAAATTATCTGAGATTTGGGACTAAGGTAAAAAACTGGGACATTTCATTTCAATATCCCACAGTGGCATCAGGTACCTCAAGGACTGTCCAGGGAAAGTGTGGCAAGTTCACTGTTTTAAAGATTATTTTCTTTGGTTAAAGTATCGTTTTCCAAAAAAATTCATACCTCTCAGGAAATATAAAATAGAACACTTGTAAAACATTCACTGTTTACTATTTATTAAAGATCTCAGACTTAGATAAGTTTACTTGTTAACTTGCGTGTTTTGTTCAGTAGAGATACAAATATTTTTTGTCTAGTAGTAAAACAGATAACCCCTAAGATTTATGACCTATTTGTCCTAATTTTGTTTTTTCAGTCAAACTCAGAAATCTTACCCTAACATTTCTTGTTAATTGATCTATGAATACCCTAGCTTCTTAAATGCACTTTGAACTGGACATATCCTCTTTTCCATATCAATGGAGTTAAATAAAATGTTTTACAAGTGTTCTATATTTCCTGAGAGGTATGAATTTTTTTGGAAAACGATACTTTAACCAAACAAAATAATCTTTAATAAACACTATGCCACTTTTTATGATATAATTACACTTAAGCCCTGAGCATTTCAAGAAAAAGTCCATTTGTGGGGAGCCTGGATGGCTCAGTTGATTGGGCACCCAACTCTTGATGTCAGCTCAGGTCATGATCCCAGGGTCGTAGGATCAAGCCCCGTGTCAGACACCAAGCTGAGTGTGGAACCTACTTGGGATTCTCCCTTTCTCTCTCTTTCTCACACACACACTCTCTCTCTCTCTCCCACTCACAATCTCTCTGTCTCTACAAAGAAAATAAAGAAGAAGAAAATAAAGAAAAAGAAAAAGAAGAAAAAGTCCATTTGGGAATCCTTCACATTTTGTGATAATAAGAAAGAGAATAGCTTTGCCTCCTTAAAATTTCATAAGATGAAAAAATTACACACAGGTATGGAACAACATGCACGATGTCCTATCTAGGTATAATAAAAAAAATTCAGTGAATACAAAGGAAAGAAGAAAGTGCATGGGGAAAATGAGATACTGAAAATAGGTGTCTCTACTAACCTCATTTGAAATGAGCTCTTTTTATTGTGTCATGCTTGCAGAACAGTGAACCGAGGATTGATCTAGCAGCAAATCTTGTTAAACATTTAAATAGGGACTATGACAATGTGTAATAGGAAAATCACAGTACTAGTGTTAAAAGAAAATTTCTGATTTATGCTTACATGCCAGAAGTTCGTATTATGAGAGTGACATTTAACTTTGACCTTGGCATGAATCTGACATGTTTGTGTTGTCTAACTCATTTTTATAGCCACTACGATTCCTATTAACTGGACATTAGGTCTTAAAATCTGAGTAAGACTACTTTACAGGAACTGCTGCTTACTCCATGAAGTAAGCACTGTTGGGCCATCTCACTATTAGGGATTCTGGCTGGCTTGCTGACAGCCGGATCCCCGGGGGCATAAACAGAATGGATTCTACAGGCACATTTGTCCTTTGTGGCTAACAAGCAATGTGTGAGTGAGCATCGGTATCACGTAAATATGGTAAAATGAAGTTTTTACAAAAATAAACATTTTCTGGGGCGCCTAGGTGGTTCAGGCCGTTAAGTGTCCAACTCTTAGTTTCGGCTCAGGTCATAATCTCAGAGTTCATGGGTTCAGGACCCGCATCGGGCTCTGTGCTGGCAGTGCAGAGCCTGCTTGGGATTCCCCTCTCTACCTCTACTCCCTCATGTGTGCTCTCTCTCTCTCTCTCTCTCTCTCTCTCTAAAATAAAGAAAATGAAACATGTTCACTTAATGGTTTTAGTTCTGATGATCATTATTGCAACATCACTATCAATGTCAGCCTTATCATTCCCTCCACTTCATTAACTAGAATTCTTTTGAAGACTACCCTCTCCCAGGGATTAATACATTTAGTATGCAGCATACTTTATGAAGAGCTGTACCTCATCCGCTAGATGAGCTGTGGTATCTCTTAAAAAAGGAAGGAAGGGATGTAATTTCTTCCCTATAATTTCTAATCTTTTGAGAAACTGGTCATCCCTATACATGACAAATGAGTTATGTTGTGGTGGGTGATGGATTTTGTTTTTGTTATGACTTCCTTTTTTAAATTATCTTTATAGAATTATGGATTTTTATATTCAGTAATACAGATTTCATTTTGATTGCTCCCCGGAAATGAGATTTGAAGAGTGGTTTGTCTCAATTCCAAGCACCCTGTTCCTTTATTACATCATCATTACATCACCAAACCCCTAATTCTGACTCTCTCCCATAAAATGTCTCATAGTTGATTGAAAAATTCCACAAAAATGGGGAAATCGTCTGTTACTTAGCTAAAATCTGAATATTAACTTTAAGTCTTGTGAAGCTGGAAATAGGAAGAACATGTAAGATGTGGTTCTGTGGCTTTTTTTTTTCTTTTTTCCTTAGAGAGAGAGAATGAGCAGGGGGAGAGGCAGAGAGAGAGGGTGAGAGAGAATCCCAAGTAGGCTCCAGGCCCATTGCAGAGCCCAACACAGGGCTCAATCTCAGGACTGTGACATCATGACCTGAACTGAAATCAAGAGTCAGACGTTTAACTGACTGAGCCACCCAGGCACCTTGTGGTTCTGTGTTTTATTTTATTTTTTTTAATTATTTTTTTTTAATGTTTATTCATTTTTGAGAGACAGAGAGAGGCAGAGCATGAACGGGGGAGGGTCAGAGAGAGAGGGAGACACAGCATCTGAAACAGGCTCCAGGCTCTGAGCTGTCAGCACAGAGCCCGACACGGGGCTCGAACTCACGGACCGTGAGATCATGACCTGAGCTGAAGTCTGACGCTTAACCGACTGAGCCACCCAGGTGCCCTGTGGTTCTGTGTTTTAAATCCTAGTTCTAAGTAGTCTAAATATCAATGATTATTCAAAAACTGGGAAAGTGAAACACAGATCATGAAGTAGTTAGTCTTGACCTCAAATACACACATGACCAGAATTGAGAGTCTTTGGGCAATAGATTAGGACAGTTAAGAATAGTTTTACCTTAGAGATCTTAAATTTAAGATGATATGTTTAGACGCCTCCAATTTAGTGATTATCTTACGGTATCTTAAATTTTAATTGCTTACCTTTTATAAAAAAATCAAAATTTCAAAATGCAACTGAAGAAGAGATTTCATTAAAAAAAAAGTCTGATTACTAAGGGGAAGTCACTAATTCAGGCTAATCTGTACAACTGCAGGGGGTCAAGAGAAGAAATATAGGAAGATATAAATTACTGAGAAATTTGATTAGAGTATTTAAAAATGCTTTTTAGGGGCGCCTGGGTGGCTTAGTCGGTTAAGCGGCCGACGTCGGCTCAGGTCATGATCTCGCGGTCCATGAGTTCGAGCCCCGCGTCGGGCTCTGTGCTGACAGCTCAGAGCCTGGAGCCTATTTCAGATTCTGTGTCTCCCTCTCTCTGACCCTCCCCTGTTCATGCTCTATCTCTTTTTATCTCAAAAATAAATAAACGTTTAAAAAAATGCTTTTTAAAAGTATATCTTTAAAATATGCAAAATGTGTTATCAGTCTTCTTTTTCACATATAATTATTATTATATTAGACTAGTTAACTCTTGCTTTTCTTTGAAAACCCTTCTAATCCTATTGTGCCATAAAAAATCAACTTTAGGTCAGCCTATGATTATGAGCATAATTTATGATTGAGTACAATCCAGTGAGTTTTAATTGCCTTTTAGTTATAAAGGACATACAATTTGGAGAGTGTATCACAGTATTTTAGAAACCTAAAATTTCATTCTTGAAGTGGCTAAAAATTCATTGTCAAGTCACATTTTAAGTCTGTGTATGTTCTGCACTTTCCAAAATTTTAAATTCAGCTTCATATGCTTTCAAATGCCTGTTCAACATATACTGTGAATGAGTTCTTGGGAAAAAAAATTAAAGTATGTTTTCTGTAGAGAGTTATATTAATTATAGTTCCTCAAACCTCCATTCTTTTTCTCCCTCAGCTTTATTGTAATATACAATTGACATATGATATCGTGTAAGTTTGAGATGTAAAATGTGTTCCTTTGATACACTTAAATATTGTAAAATGGCTACTATCATAGTGTTAGCTAACACTTCATTCATATCACATAATTATTTCTTTTTTGTGATGAGATCTATTCTCTTAGCAGAGTGCTGATTGTTTTAATCTATGTTTAACTTAAAAATGAGAATTTAGAAGAGGTACATTTTCAAACCACTATGTTATTGTTCTATCAACACATGCAAATTAGTGTCAATTCCTGCAATGATCTGGAGGCTTCGATAAAACTTCTCCTTAAGTTTAAGAATACAGCAGTACAATTTATTTTTAGATCACTAGTATGTAAAGAATTTTAGCTAGTGTGGAGTTAGAAAATCAACCTTAGATACAAATTTGTTTATAATAATAATTTCTGAAAAGTACAAGTTGCAATGCATTTTCTCTGATTTCATTTACCAACTGAAAAATCATTTCAAATAAAGCTTTGTGCATTGAATACCAGTGCAATTCAGTAGCAAAAGCATTTTATCATTCTTTTAGTCTGGGCTCTTTCAAAAATTACTTAATACTCAAACTTTATTTGCCATCAAGGATTTCCCAGAACATTACACATGGCTATTTTATAAGCCCTTCCCTCGAATGTAAAAAAGTGCAGGACTCATTTTTCTTGAAGGAAAACTGAAGAAAAACCTTCTCCAGTTAAAAATCTTAAAGTGAAAGAATCTTCTGCAATTCATGGATTCACTAAGAATTTTTTCTGTCTGTGAAAAATATGGCGTATTTCTAGGTCTGTAGTAATGACTCCTCCAAGAGTTGGAAAGATTCCCTGAAAGAGAATTGGTTAGACACTAGGAGAGAGCAAAATCTCATCACCATTCTAATATGGTATTCCAGTATGTAAAACCTTAAAAAATGCTACGAAAGCCAGAACCAAGAAAATCACACAGAACTTATTCACTAAGATGCCGTAATTCTTCAAATTCCAAAGAAGATGAGATGATGTCCACAGATAAGAGGGACAGAAGCACATCCTGTCAACGGCTATAATCCAGAGATGGTCTCTGAGGAGACTGGTCATTGCCAAGACTGCCATCTGCTTGGCCTGCTGGTCTGGGGGCTTAGGGAGGCTCCACCTCCAACACCACTGAAATCACAGCGCTTGAAGGTGTAGAGGGGAATCAGAAATAGAAACTGTCAGAAATCTTTTCTTCCTCTTCTCCTTCTTCTTCCTTCTCTAAATCTAAACTAGGAAATGTTTCTAATGCTCCAAACACTACCTTATTTAGGAGTTGAAGCTGACTGCAGAGCCCATATTTTCAATTTTAGTTTGTGCTGCAACAATAAATATTAACCAGGGGGTTTTTAGAAACAGGTAAAATAAACTAAAAACCAAATTACATCCCAATATCAGGATTCGGCACAATAGTAGGAAACACTAAGCAAGGAGATATAGTAATTTTTTTTTCAGAAAGACAGGTAAGATAAAAGCAAAGGGTCTATCTATCAATGATTCTTTTTCTTTGTACCAAGTTGGGTCCAGTTTCTTGATTTCCATGTAAAATTATCAAGCTGCAATTACCAACTTTCCGGAGCTCAAAGGAAGATTCAAACTGGTGCCCAGCTGCCAGGAGAAGGACCGCATAATTAATTCCTGACTGTAGTGATGGCTCAGATTCAAATGCCTTTTTGAACCTATTAAAAAAAAAAAAA